TGAAAGCCTTCATGCACTAACTCTCCAAAAGGGTGGTTGCTTCTCACTCAGGAACATATTCTAGGCACCAGACATACAGAGGATGAGACATAGTTGCATCCTCGGTCATTCAGTCTGGTCAGGGAGACACGTATGCAAACAGTATTTACAGTGCTGGATAAGTAGTGCTATATACAATGTGATATAAGCAAAATATCATGGGAGCAGAGAGGGAGGGGGAACTTTCTTTGTGGGAGTTAGCCTAGGAAGGCTTCATGGAGGAGGCAGCAATCTGCCATCCTTAGGGCTTTGGGTATGCTTAGGGAGCTCTGGTGGCATAGTGCCTAAGGCATGTGACTGCTAAACAGAAGGCTGGCAGTTCAAACCCACCAGGCACTCCTCAGAAGGAAGGCTGAGCAATCTACTTCCATAGTGACACCGCCTCGGAAACCCAAGGTGGGGTTGCTATGAGTTGGAATTGACTTGACGGCAGTGAGAGTTATGGTCCTGAGTTTCTTGCCGACCTTGAGCATGGCTTTCAAGTTTTCAGACTTCATTCAGAGTCAAGGAACTGATGAAGAGAATAATGATAAAGATTATTATGACATCAACTATAATTTTTTGAAGGCAAAGAATTAAGGGTTAATAACACTCTGTTAAAGCAGGGAGAGTCCCCGGGTGGTGTAAACACAATCAACCATCAACAACCCTGTGGAGCATGGTTCTACTCTGACACACATGGTGTTGCCTAGTCAGAATCGACTAGTTTCTTTGTTACTGTTAAAAGTAATGAGAAAACTTGGAAACTATACAGGGAGGCATTGTAGCCCAGAAGGGAGAAGTGGTTAGCCCAAGAGCATGTGGAGACGGTGCCAAAGTTGAAGCAAAGACAGCATTCACTTTGATACTGCAGGTCAGTGTGCTTTCCACAAAGCCACCCCTCCCACCCCCAGCTGTGAGCAGAGAAAATACCTTCCATTCTCTCTGGACTGCAGCTCCTCCATGAAAACAGATATAATCATATTATGATGCTGTACGTTCTGAACTTTGTGTTCCTAGAAACTATGCCATAAAGAAGACTGTATTTCCCACAGGAACAATATTATAATTAGGTGGTACATTCTCAGCCAAGGATGTGACATCAAGTAATGCAGACACAACCAATAATGCGTCGTAACAGCGTGGATACAATGATGATGAACTTCAGTAAACATTTACCGTGGTAAATTACGGTCTGACTCGTGGCACATGGGCATAAGACACTAAACTTGATAATACACAGATAAAAGTGTAACATGAGATGAACTCCAAAGATTTACACTGTATTCTAGCTATAAAAATATCATAGTGAACATTAAACATTTCATAAGTGATATTTTTATTTCTCTGAGAATTTAGAAGAACCTTATAGAGATGATTTACTTGGTCTTTTAAAAAGCCACCCAATGAAGTATGTGCTGAGATTTTTCTTCTTCCATGCACTCTAGCAAGCTGAAGAATTCAAAATTGTTCTGTTGACCTTTCCAGCTAGACTCAAAGCACTACAGTAAGTTTTATAAATGTTTTCTTGTCCCCTTGAAAAGCACATTAAAAATAATGACTGACCCAACATTTCTCCCATTGTCTTCAATTCTACCTCCTCAGTTTAGAAAAGCCATGGAATAGAACCATTAAGAATCATACTAAATAAGAGCCACCTACAAATAAATATCATGGGAAAGGGGTGGTTCGGTGCTAGGATTCTCGCCTTCCATTCAGAAGACCCAGGTTCAATTCCCAGACAGTGTATCTCATGAGGAGCCAACACCCACCTGTCAGTGGAGGCTTATATATTGCAGATGCTGAATGGGTTTCCGTGGAGCTTCCAGACTAAGATAGACTAAGAAGAAATATCTGCAGATCTACTTCCAGATACCAGCCAGGGAAAACCCTACGAATCACAACAGTCCAGTCTACAACCAATCACAGAAATGGTGCAGGATCAGGCTGTGTTTTATTTGGATGACCATGGGGTCACCATGAGTTGAGGGCCAACTCCACAGCAGCTAACAATGACAACTCACTCTTACTGCCAACAACTCGGATCTGACTCATAGCGACCCCTCTTTGGGTTTCCGAGGCGGTATCACTATGGAAGAAGTTTGTCCAACCTTCCTTTCGAGGAGTGCCTGGTGGGTTTGAACCACCAGCCCTCTGGTTAGCAGTCATATGCCTTAGGCGCTATGCCACCAGAGCTCCTCAACAATGACAACAACAAATAAATATTGTTAAATCCCTCTTTGACATCCTCTAGTAACACATGAAGAGCCCTGGTAGTGCCATGGTTAAGTGTTTGGCTGCTAACACAAAGGTTGGTGGTTCAAACCCACCAGTGGCTCCCAGAGATAAAAGACCTGGCTATCTACTCCCATAAAGATTATAGTCTAGGAAACCCTATGGGGAAGTTCTACTCTGTCCTACAGGATCTCTATGAGTTGAAATTGATTTGACGGCACACACCAACAATAATAACACAACTTAATCTTTTGACAGTAAACTTTATAGTTCTTCTATTTAAAAATATGGATGGTACTAACTGACTTACAGGGTTATTGTGAAACTTCAGTGAAACAATACATTTAAAACAATTAATACAATTAGTACAATGCTGAACCCTCAGCAAGGGCTTAATGCTGATGCTGTGCCAGGAACAGTTCTAGTTTCTGGGCATATAGCAGTGGAGAAATCAGTCATGTAGGGAGAAAGACAGAAACAAATAAGAATGTGTGTGTGTGTACACATTCTTATTTGTTTACTATTGTTGTTTAGATGTTTTTGTTGTTAGGTGCCGTTGAGTTGATTTTGACTCATAGTGACTCCATGTGACAGTAGAACTGTCCCAGGGTTTTCTTGGCTATAATCTTTATGCGATAGAAATGCTAGGGAGAAAAAGCAGGTATGTCAGCATTTGTGTTAGTCTGAGTGAGATGGAAAGAAACTCTGGGAAGGTAGAAATAGAAGGATCTGTCCTTCTATCATGGAACTCCTCAAAAAAAAGTTTCCAAACCTCCCTCCCAGAATGTCCAAGACTGGGGAGGATCAGGCTTGTAAAGATGTTACCTTGGTGAGTGAGAATGGACCCTGGTGGGGAGGTGGGAAGAGTGGGGAGAACTGGAGTGCAGATGACTTGCTGGCATATATAAAAGCAGCATGTGCACCATTTCACTGCTTAGCAGGACCATCACCAGCCACCCGAGTCAGGGAAAGGAAAATTTATTTTTGTGGAAGTGGACAGGGAGAGTGAAAGGCAGGACCAACTACATAAGTTGTGGAGTCTGGTACAAAAATTAAAAATTTTAAGATGGGAACAGCAGAGCACGAAACCAAGTACAGGGTCCTTCTGAGCATGGGGCCTTGTGTAACTGCCTTGTTGTGTACCCGTGAGGCCAGCTCTGGGGCAGGTATGCTACTTGTTGGCTCAGCAAAAAAGAAGCTATTCTAAAATGAGATTTAGGGACTACGTGAGACTTTAAGGAAGCCCTGGTTGTGCAGTGTTTAAGCATTCAGATGCCAATTAGACCAGCCACTCTGCAAGAGAAACACGTGACAATCTTCTTCTGTAAAGATTTACAGCCTTGGAAACCCTATTAAAAACTCACTGCCTTCAAGTCAGATCTGACTCATAGTGACCCCTCCTTGGGATACCAAGGCAGTATCACTACGGAAGTAGATTGCCCAACCTTCCTTCCAAGGAGTTGCTGGTGGGTTTGAACCATCAGCCTTCAGGTAAGCAGTTAAATGCCTTAGGCACTACACCACCAGAGCTCTGTTCTATCCTTTAGCATTGCTATGAGTCTGAATCTACGCAATGGTAAGGGTTTTTTTTTTTTTTTTTTTTTTTTTTTGGGGGGGGGGTGACTTAGATTGTCAAGATATCCTTCCTAGGGCAAATGGGACTATACCTACAAATATAGATAGGTTTGACAGGGGATATTTCTATGTATGTATTTATATGTGCTGCAAAGATATCCATGAATATAATAGAGAATATAGGGGGCTAAGTTATGAAAACTTCTTAGCCATTACCAAACACCTTGAGAGAATGAGTTGTTGGGCCTAGGGGCTCATAGCTATAGTTTCAGGGTACACTAAGGTCAATTGGCATAACATAGTCCACAAAGACAATGTTCTACATTCTACTTTAGTGAATAGTGACTGGGGTCTTAAAAGCTTGTGAATGGCCATCTAAGGTGCAACTATAGGTCTCGCCCCATCTGGAGCAAAGAATAGTGAAGAACATCAAAGTTACAAGGAAACAATTAGTCCAAAGCACTCAGGGACCATGTGAACTCCAGCCTCCAGACCCTGAGATCAGAAGAGCTAGATGGTGCCCAGCTACCATTGCTGACCACTCTGAAAGGGATCATAATAGAGTGGAAGAAAAATGTGGACCAAAACTCAAAATCATAAAAAAAGAACAGGGTTACTGGTGTGATAGAGACTGGTGGAACCCCCAAGACTATGGCCCTTAGACACCCTTCACACCTGGAACTGAACTGACCTCCATGGTTCAACTTTCAGCCAAATGATAGGCCCGTAAGCTGAACAATAACACCAGGGAGGTACATACACGTTAGAACAATCAACCACATGTGATCAAAAGGGCAGCATTTGCCCAGGGATAAAGATCAGACGGTGGGAAAATACAGCGAAGTAGGACAAAGGGAAATAGTAATCAGAGGGAGGAAGTGGGAAGAGTGCTGTCACACTGTGGGGAGTGCAATCAATGTCACGAAACAAAATGTGTACGAATTATTGAATGGAAAACCAATTTGCTCTATAAGCCTTCACCCAAATCATAATCATAATCATAATAAAAAGATATCCTTCCTAGGCCTAAATGATCAAGTAACAGCTGCAAAGTCAGAGATGGTTAAAATGGAGGTGGAATTTTTAACCACTAAACAAAAAAAATGTCTAATGATTTCAAACCATAATGGCCACCTACATACGGCATTCTGATAGTTCTTGGTTGTTCTCACCTGCTGGTAGATCAAATCTACAGCCACTTTGCAGTCCATCAGCATGGAGTCAAGGGATGGATCCATATACCTGCATAATTCAGAAATTAATTCATATCCCAATTCAAAATTTACATATTCATTCATCTCCCTCTCCCTGGGAGAGCACTATGACTACTTCGGCTGCTAGAGGGAACAGAAGAACAAAAAGCCTCAGCACATACCTCCTCATGTGATCAGCAATGGTAAACCAGTCTCAGTCAAGGCAATTCTGACTTTCAACCTTTCAGTTAGTGGCTGAGTGAGTTAACTATTTGTACCAGCCAGGGACTTCCAGAAATGGTAAGAAATACTCAAATGCTTACCATCACTATAAATGCTTACTTACCACTTTCTGAATCCAACCTGACAGTTTTCCACTTCAAAATTTTGAAGACTAACATAAGGCAGTTCAAAGTCCGCCATTTTTTTCATGACTAGAAAAGGGGAAAAGGGTTACTGGTTGAACTAGTAAGAATAGTTTACATACAGAATACTTACTTGTATGTATATAACTGTATGTAGGTAACAGTAATAGTTTACACACAGAAGCTTGAAAATAGGAAAATGGAACATTACTGATATAAAAAAAAATTCTCTTGGTTTTGTATATAATTTAACTTTCTGAAGTTCATTCAAAAGATCAACATCATTTGATTCCCATAAAATGTCTGTGGTTTGAGTAGGAAATACTTTACATTGTGATACAGATGAAAAAAACTGAGGTTCAGAGAGGTCCAGCATCTTGGCACATCCCAGCTCTTAGCTTAGAACTAAGATCCAAAACTCTGAACATCTGATTCAAAACCTCCTCTCACAGTTGAACATGCTCCTGAGGTAGATACACTCCTTCGAGAGGACAATCATGGGAGGAAGAGGGGCTGTTTATGCACAGGGAGACAGTTCAGGGGGCTGGAGTATATGGAGGGATGGACACAGGGTAACATGTGTGTGAACTGCTGCATGCAAAGTGAATTTGCTCTGTAAACTTCCAACCAAATCACAAAAACCTCCTCTCACAGCTTCTTAAGGACATACTGTAAGATGACTGATACCATCTTACAAAAAAAAAAAAAAAAAAAAAAACTCAACTGCCATTGAGTTGATTCCAACTCATAGCAACCCCCATTGGGTTTCCAAGGCTGTAAATCTTTATGGAAGCAGATCGCCTCTTCTTTCTTTCATGGAGTGGCCGGTGGGTTTGAACCACCAGTCTTTTGGTTAGCAGCCAAATGCTAACTACACCACCAGAGCTCCTATTTCATAATTAAAAACCTTATAATATCTAGAAAGACACTGTGGAGCAAAGCAGGAGCTATCTGAATTGAACTGTCATCTTGTACCATCTCATTATGTTGTTCTTGTTGTTGGGTCCAGTTGAGTCAATTTTTACTGATAGTGACCCCGTGTAACAGAGAGGAATTGCCCCATAGGGTTTTCTAGGCTACAGTCTTCACAAGAGCAGATCTCCAGGTCTTTCTCCCACAGAGACACTGGATGAGTTTGAACCACCAACCTTTTGGTTAGCAGTCAAGCACTTAACTATTGTACCCCTGGGCTCCTTCATCTCCTTATATGTTTTGTTTTGTTTTTTAATTTTATTTGTGTGTGTGTGTGTGTGTGTATTTTAATTATGATTTGAGTGAAAATTTACATAGCAAATTCACTTTCCATACAGCAGTTCACATATACTTTGTCTCATGGCATTAACTGCAATTTACCACAATGCAACAGCTCCCCTCCCACTTCTTCCCGATAGTTACCTCTTCCCTGTGTCCATCCCTCCATGCACCCCAGCCCCCTGATCTGTCTCCCTATGCATAAACAGCCCTTCTTTCTCCCATGCTTTAAAAAAAAAAACAAAAACAAAGAATCTAAGACCTTATTTCTATCACCTATATCTTTTATGACAAAAAGAAATTATGCTCAGCTGGGATGTCCTGATACCTGGAGTCTAGCATGTCATTCATAAGGCATTGTGAGGTGGCTGATGGATGTGGGGTCAGGGCAGGATGTAAAGGTGAGCAAGCATCAGGGTTGAGACTGGGGTAGGCACAAGAGGAAGTGCAGTACTGGAGAGACTAGACATCTTGTTCCTGACCATGTTGCCTCTCAGTAGCTGTCACCTTCCCATTCTCGCCCCTGGCTCGCCCAGCACAGAGGCACCCTCACCATTCCTCAGACCTTTCATCCAGGGCCTGAGACAGAAGTGGGGACCACACACTGGGGAGCTTCCCTGGGGATGCCGGGTAACAGCCCCCATCAGCTGTCTCTCGAGTCTCCAGAGCTGAGCCCCAGCTCATACCTGCCCGGCCTGTCTCCTGGTTTGCATGCGCTTCTTCTCTCCTTCTTACCTGAGAGCTTGCCCTCCTTTTGAAGTCGAATGAGAAACAGGCCAAAGTAGCCCAGGAGCTCCCGACACAGCCCGATTCTGTGGGACACTAACTTTAACCAGAGACAGAAAAAGGTGAAAAACGTTAGGGGCTTCCCCCATGCTCATTAATTGTGAAATATGAAATTTGACATTGCCTTTAAACATCAATGAACAATGTTCTAATATCTTAACAGCCTGATTCCTTTCACAAAAAGAAATCTTTTCTGAATCTGAAGATAATACTGACTCATTTTAGAAAATTGAGAAATACAGAAAATCAGTGTTGTTATGTGCCGTCGAGTCAGACCCGACTCATAGCGACCCCTCCTTGGGTTTTCGAGGCAGTATCACTACGGAAGTAGATTGCTCCATCTTCCTTCCAAGGAGTGGCTGGTGGGTTTGAACTGCCAGCCTTCTGGTTAGCAGTCAAGTGCCTTAGGCACTATGCTACCAGAGCTCCTACAGAAAATTAGAGTGAAGAAAATAAAAATCAGTTCCATCATAATGGACATGAACCAGTTTTAGCAGAGACTGGCTGAGCTATCTTGCCTGTGGACTTAGCCCCAAGCCTCTGATCATTCTGTTCTGCACTGTCCACTGGAGGGCAGCAGACGTTGTTCATGAATATCTTACCCGAGAGCTGGTTGTTGGGTCTGTGATCTGTGGGGGGCTCCCATACAATTTACCAGATTTCAGAAAAGGAATGTCAGGTGCTTCTTCCCCTCCACTTGGCTGGTATGTAAAGGCTACTGTCCGGCTTCAACACTCCAGGTCCATCACTTGGATGTTTATTGTGATGTTCATTGTTGTTGTGTTGTTAGTTATCATGGAACTCAGCTCCTCGCTCATGGCAACCTCATGCACAGTGTACAAAATGCTGCCCAGTCACGCACCAACCTCCTGGTCTTTTCATTGGCTGGTATTCAGAAGTACATTGCCAGGCCTTTCTTCCTGGTCTTAGTGTGCAAGCTCCAGTGAAACCTACTCAGCATCAGAGCACCATGCCAGCCTCCAGTGACAGACAGGTTGTGGCTCTGTATAAGGTGCACTGGCCGGGAACTGAACCTGGGTCTCCCACGTGCATGGTGAGCATTCTACCACCGGACTAATAACAGCCTCAAGTCTAATTTACTATAATGTTTTCTCCAGAAAACCTCAAATCCCAGACATGGGATACCTTCATTCCACGTTCCCCTCTGACCTCTACTTCAAAGAATCTCCACTTTCACACCAGTGGCTTCATTTTTACCAAAAGGCCATCAGGCTGTAATCCTGGGTCTATACCTTCCTTTAACAGGAACTTCCCATATTACCATAAACCACCTCTATCCCCATCAGCTCCAGCCCCTATGGAGGGCCCTTAGGTGATTTCTTTGCATTCCAATCATCTCTGCAACATGGGAGAGCTGCTTTTTTTTTCCTCCTTAATTTTGTTGTGGTAATATAGATATAACAGAATATTTGCCATTTTAACCATTTTTAAGGGCAGACTTCAGTGACATTAATTATCTCCACCACATTCTGCAACCATCATCACGATCTATTTCCAAGTTTTTCATCGCCCCACACAGTAACTCAGTACCTCTTCAGAAAAAACTCTCCACCCCTTCTCTCTCCTCCCAGCCCCTGGTAACTATTAGCATACTTTTGTCTCTATGCATTTGCCTATTCCAGTATTTCATAAAGGCGCTCTGATGGCATAGTACGTAAGGCATCTGACCGCAAACCAGAAGGTTGGTGGTTCAAACCCACCAGCCACTCTGTGGAAGGAAGATGGGGCAAACTACCTCCATACAGATTTACCAGCTCGGAAACCCGACAGGGGTCACTTTTACTGCTCTGTACATGAACCTGTGCTTTACCCATGAGTCCAAGTTCTCTAGGAGGCAACTGCACAAATACCAGGTGCAAAGAGGGTACTTTCCTTGTCGAGCTCTGTGAACTTCCTGATGAGATAGTCTCATTAGGTGGATGGTATGAGGGCATGTTCTTAGCAGAGCTTTAAAAATAAAGAATAACCTAGAAATATTTTCACAACATTTATTCAACGTTCATTTCCACTTCTTTCTTCTCCCTAAAACTAAAAATCCAAACTCACTGCTGTCCAGTCAATTCTGACTCATAGCGACCCCTCCTTGGGTTTCCAACGCAATATCACTACAGAAGTAGATTGCCCGGTTTTCCTTCCAAGGAGTGGCTGGTGGGTTTGAACCACGAGCCTTCTGGTTAGCAGTCAAATGCCTTAGGCACGACACCAAACAAAGCAGGACTGTTTTGCTGGTTGAAGGTGCTGTTAGGGGTGAGTGTGTGCTGGTAGGTAACAGCATAGTTCTGTGTGCCACAGAGTCGATTGCAACTCAAAGCACCCCTCTAGAACAGAGTAGAATTGTCCCATAGGGTTTCTTAGGCTGTAAACTTTATGAGAACAGATTGCCAGGTCTTATCTCCTGTGGAGTGGCTGATGGGTTTGAACTGTAGACCTTCCGGTTAGCAGCCGTGCTCTTCAGCATTGTACCACCAGGGCTCCTTAATAGCATAGGAAAGATTTCCTTTTCCCTAGAGTAGATATGACACATGTCCACTCAAATTAAATGTGTCTCTTCTCTGACTCATTTAAAGAAAATAGTGAGCTTAGGTCCCAAGGCAAATAGAGAAGATTAGTGGGGGAATAAAAAGAGAATGGAGAAACCTTTCATAATTTATAAAGACACAAATACAAACACTTTCAAAAGAAGAAAGAGGAGCAAGCACTGGCAAAAAAGAGACGCAATAATGTTTTCCTCTCTCAGCAAATGTTAACGATGCTTCAAAACCCAAACACCTCCAATAAAACTGCATGAGCGATAGTATATAAATAAATGAAGAAGAGATTTTAGTTTGTTACTGGTCCTTAAAAAGTAAAAGTTAGGATGGGTGATGTGGAGAGGGGGAAGCACAGGTCAGATATCACACATAACGTGAGCGCGGAGAACCTTCTGTCCTAGAGGGTCCTAGAAATTTTCCCACTTCCTCTTGTTTATAACTTTTTATTCCCACTCATGTTTCTCTGGAGGATTAGAACTAGAACCTCCAAAAGAAAAAGGCCTGGGAGCTGGCCGTTGGCAGCAGTATGTGGGTGTGAGAAGAAGCGAACCCTCTACAGCCTCAGGAAAGCCCTGAGAGGCGGAGCTGGCGATGGCTAAATCTGCAGACAGGAAGATGTTTTCCGGGTCTCACCCTTGGATTTCTCAGAGAACTGACTAAAAATTGAGATCTGTCCCCTGGACGCTGAGGACAGAATTAGACTGATCAGAATGCTGGCTTTAGGGATTTTCCCTGTGGGGGAAGAGGGACAATTCTTCCAGCTTTTGAGAAATGCTTGTCATTCTCTCCCAGGTTGTGTCACCAGCCCACCTTGGTATGGCCTGTTTCAGATTCAGCTGGGCTCCACCCTCCTTCCTGCTTCCCCAGAGCATCCCATAATAACATTTTTCATGTTTTCAGGGCACATCCCTGGCTGAGTTCCAGGGAAGTAACAACAGCCTTTGGAAAGACCTATGAAACCTCCAGAAAAGTAATGCCCACAGGGAGAATAAAACCAAAGAGGTCCAGAAGGACTGGCTATATGTCAGATTTCTCAGTCGGTTTCACAGAAAATCCTGGCATCTCTAGACAAGTCTCCAGAGAGTAAAATGATAGGCAGGAAGCACCCAGAAGGTAATCATGTCCTAGAGACCCTGCTTTTGAACAGAATTATGCCCAAGGCATTTGACTGCTAATCAGAAGGCTAGCAGTTCAAACCCACCAGCCATTCCTCGGAAGGAAGGTTGGGCAATCTACTTCCGCAGTGATACTGCCTTGGAAATCCAAGGAGGGGTGGCTATGAGTTGGATCCAAATCAACGGCAATGAGTTTGGTTTTTTTGGTTTAATCCTAAATTCAGTTCTGGCGCTGGTGTTTAAAGTTTACCTCCAGGACTCGTTCAGCAGTATCTGATGTTACAATTTCAATTTTAATACTCTTCCCATCAGGCAGAAATATGTCCAGAGAGGTCTTCTTGGTCATGATGTTAAACGTGCTCTGTAGGCAGAAAGAAAGCCAAGTAAACTTCCACACCGAGTCACATCAAGTGAGCTGTCAGTAGTTTCCTCTCCTTGGTGCCCTGCAGGTATTAGAGTATCTACAAGTACACAGAGCCAGGTGCAGAGACTGGGGGGGGGGGGGTGTTCTTTTTGGGGATGGGATGTGGGTGAGCAGAGGTATGGAGAAAAACCAAAGTAAAGCAATGACATGAAGCTTGAGTAATTTCCAAATAGCCAACAGGGAATCCATTTTAGGGGGAAAAAAAATTAATAAAATCATTTGCATGACCCTTGGTAGTCTCAGAATTAATTGACTTTCCTAGTTTGAACATTTCCAAGCATCCTCAAATGTCCATGATATGCAGTTATTTATGATTTTGCAATAACAAAAATCCGAACTGCACAAATGACAAGGCCAGTATGGGGGAAGCATGTATCTAAGTAGCAAGTGAGAGCCCAGCCAAGGATCCAACAAAGCTCTTCTCTTAAGTAGGCATTCTGTGAGGAAAAGAATGTACCACATTAGAGGTAGTAGCAAACCTGAGGACCTGTGACACTCTGGGGGTGGACTGCTAGAATGTCAAGGATATCCTTGAGCCATACAAACCAAAACCAAAACCAAACTCGCTGCTATCGAGTCGGTTCTGACTCATAGCAACCCCCCTTGAGTTTTCGAGGCAGTAAATCTTTACGGAAGTAGACTGCCCAGTCTTTCTTCCACGAAGTGGCTGGTGGGTTTGAACCACCAATCTTCTGGTTAGTAGTCGAATGCCTTAGGCACTATGCCACCAGATGGGGCTGAAATTAATGCTACAGTTATATAAACCATTGTTGTTGAGTTGATTATGCCTCATAGCAACCCTACAGGACAGAGTAGAATTGCCCCATAGGGTTTCCATAAAGGGTTTATCTTTACTGAAGCAAACTGCCAAATCTTTCTCCCATGGAGTGGCTGGTGGGTTTGAACTGGCAACCTACTGGTTAGCAGCCAAATGCTTAACCACTGTGTCACCAGGGCTCCTTACAGTTACCATAGAGAATGGGATTCCAAGATGAGAGACACCCTGGGGAGGCCAATGGCTACCCAGAAAGAACCTCACAGGATGGCAGCGTCAGGATGGACTCTTCTCAGCACCTCCAGCATATGATCCTACCAGTTCACAGAGCTTGCTTCATCTCTGAGAGGCTGACACACAGTCTTTCTCATCCCAGGCACCATGAGAGAATTAAATCGCAATGCCCCACAGCACCCACTGTATTTAAGAATTAACTTCTCTCCTAGGCATTTAGAATGCTACTAGTCGTGTATCATACTAATGAGAAATAGGATGAGTCACTCATATTATTTTCTGTGTTCTGAAACTATATAAACCAGAACACCAGTAAATTATAGTGGGAGTCGGAGGCGAGGACGTCTTTTAGTGACTAGAATATTACCATCCAGTCAGGCTACCTCTCCTTGGTATCAGACTGAAGGAGGAGAGATCAAACAACAATAAGAAAGTGATTTGGGGATCATGGAGTTGGTGAGATCCGTTCCCTTCCAACAGCCAACACCTCCCCTCTCCTTAGGCCTCCTGACCCTAAACCTGCCAATCACAGACACCACACATGAATCACAGTCGGCTTTGTAGAGAACCAGGGGGATCTGACAACTCAGTCACTTTGCTCAAGGCAGCATCTACCTCAAAGGCCTGATCACATTAGTCACAGATTTATTTCTCTAATTTTATCATCAAAAGGCAACCTTTTGTTCCAAATTTTAATTTCCATCCTCACATATTTAAACTTGCAACGTTTCTATGATTCTGAACCTAAGTATCTCAGAAGAGAAATCTACCGCTTTCTGAATACAAAGAGTTGGTCCAAGAAAGCAACATATGCTCGTGTATTATATCTACATAGATGGGCAATGTCTCTATATAGCATGTTATTAGGAATAAATATAAGACCCATGTATTTATAATATACAAATATAATGTTAGAACATGACATTGATAATTTACTCTGTATATTTCATATGTAATAGCTCATTTAATCCTCAAAACATCTCCATAAACCAAAAAACCAAACTCACTGCCATCGAGTCAGATCTGACTCGTAATAACCCCTCCTTGGGTTTCCGAGGTGATGTCACTATGAAAGTAGATTGCCCATCTTCCTTCTGAGGAATGGCTGGTGGGCTTAAACCGCCAGCCTTCTGGTTAGCAGTCAAACGCCTTAGGCACTACACCACCAGAGCTCCTTAACAGCCTCATAGGACATTAAAAAAAAAAAAAAAAAAAAACCAAACTTACTGCCTGCAAGTCAATCCCAACTCATAGTGACCCCTCCTTGGGTTTCTGAGACAGTAACTGTACAGAAGTAGATTGCCCAATCTTCCTTCTGAGGAGTGGCTGGTGAGTTTGAACCACCAGCCTTCTGGTTAGCAGTCAAGTGCCTTAGGCACTATGTCCCCAGAACTTCTATATGTCATACACACTTATTAATTTTCAGATGAACTAAAGGTTCATGGAGGTTAAATAATTTGCCAAGGACACACTGCTAGTCAGTGGCAGAGGTAAATAGGGTGAACTTCTCTCTTAGCTGGCCCAGAATGATTCTGGAACCACTACCAGGATAGTAGTGGTTAAAGCATTCAGCTGCTAACCAGAAGGTTGGCAGTTCTAACCCACCAGACACTCCGTGGGAGAAAGATGAGGCAGTCTGCTTCCATAAAGATTCACAGCCTTGGAAACCCCATGGGGGAGTTCTACTCTGTCCTATGGAGTCGCTGTGAGTTGGACTTGACTTGATGGCAGTGAGTTTGAGTTTCTTTTGGTTTTCATTCTCCTAAGTTCCCAGACTGGATGATAAATATTATGGCCACCTTAGCTCTAAGCCACCATGTTATGCTTCCTTCCATCACATATAAGAAATTTTTGTATGATGTGAATTTGGCACTTACTTGATCACTGTGCTTGCAGTTTTACAAACCATTTGATGGCTTCTCACTGTCAGTACTGGCCTCCAAATCAGCAAATGCTGAACCACCTACCAGGTTTTCACTTCAAACCTCCAATGCTGGAACAATTCACTTCCCAGCGTCCTTTGAGAATCACTCAAAGCCCTTCAACAGTAGGCCAGAACCACTTGTCCCCCTTCTCCACAGCACAGGCTTTGAGTTCCTCACACATAACCGCAAGCGACACTTTCTTCATGCTTTCACATCTACCTTTGAGCCTTCCAGGGGAGTTTTGAGATATCCTTATTTCCCCTGCAGCAATGACAACTCATGGACTGTGAGCCCAGCAGCCCCCTCCAAGCCCCATATTATAGGCTGAGGTCCAGATATTGTGGTTGTGTGCCCTCAAGTCGATTCTAAGTCATAGTGACTCTACAGGACAGCGTAGAACTGCCCCATAGGGTCTCCTAGGCTGTAACCTTTATGGAAGCAGACGGTCACATTTTTTCTCCTGGGGAGTGGCCAGTGGGTTCAAACCATGGACCTTTTGATTAGCAGCAAAGTGTTTAACCATTGTGCCACCACGGCTCCTGAGATAGAGGTAGCCAGGGAAAGGGGCTTCCCACGAGCAACTGTTCTGAATGATCCCTTTCTACACACACCTTTGCTGGTCATGGGTTCTTAAAGTTTTTTGGTCTGAACTCACAAACACCTTTTATTTCAAGGGGGGAATAATCACAAAGGAATGGAAAGAGTGGCATTGCTTTTTGATAAGATTCTAAAGGAAAGCTTAGCCCTCATTTGTTACCTCACTGCATCTTCCAGCTCAAATTATTGCAGACCAGCAACTGTCTAAATTATATAAACAATTAAAATTAAACAAATGTAGGATAAGATGATAGTTGTACAACATAATGAATGCAATCATTCTCTCTGAATTATACATGTAATAAATGTTGCATTGGCAAATATTTTACCAAAATAGAACAACTTTTAAAAATTATAGAGGACAAAAATATCCCCTGAAGTCTTCTTTAAGCCAAATAATGTTGTTGTTGTTATGGGCCATCGAGTCAGACCCGACTCATAGCGACCCCTCCTTAGGTTTCCGAGGCAGTATCACTACTGAAGTAGATTGCCCAACCTTCCTTTCGAGGGGTGGCTGGTGGGTTTGAACCACCAGCTTTCTAGTTAGCAGTCAAGTGCCTTACGCACTATGTTACCAGAGCTCCCAAGCCAAATGATAGTTTAGCTTAATTAGTACAGAATGACTGCCTTGAGCATTATGCTGTTTCAAAGAACTATTTATATGCAATCAAACTGACAACAACAACAAGTTGAAAGGTTAGATAGGAAATTTAGGGGGCAGTGAGATTACATTAATGGAGGGGGAACAATTTGGAAAAAGAAGTGAAAATGTTTGTACGCCCTGAAGAACATCATCAATGTCACCAAACTGTCCATGTCGAAATTGTTGAAATGTGTTTGCTCTGCTGTGTATATTTTCAACAACAAAAATAAATAAAATAAGTTGATCTTTGACAAAGGCCCAAAATCCATTAAATGGGGAAGAGAATGTTTGTTTAATAAATGGTGCTGGCAAAACTGGAGATCCATTTGCAGAA